GGCCTAACTTTATATGTAAAAGACATGCTACATTTCAGTTAGGTTTCAGCAATGAAAAAAATTAATATTTTCCCTTTTCAAGTTCACCTGCTCTCTGAATTACACGCACATACCCCAGGTTAAGAATCCTGCCCTATCGCTAGGCAGACCCTCCCTCCAAGTAGGGCAGTGTCCTCGCCTGTGTGTCACTCCAAGTGATCCCGGGGACCCAGGGACCCAGGGACCCACTGTTGCCTGTCCTGAGGAAATAAATACCAGGTAAGTGTTGAGAAGCTTCGATCGCCACTGGTCAGAGTAATTTATTTCTGTTGACCCTAATGATTGAAAATGGAGCTGGAGTTTTTATATATGGTTTTAAATTCTATTTTCCTAATAACTTATTTTTATTTCAAATTTACAAAAGTCTCTGTGACATAACGGAAATATTTTAGAAACTACTTTTTTTTTTTTTTAACCACAGAGAGTTTTTAAAGCTCTGCTCAACTACTGTTATTCCTGGTCATTTGCTTTGATGGACCAAGGAAAATTCAGGAAAAATTTAGGCCAAGGGACTTAAATTTATAAACTATCACTTGGAAAAACAGAACAAAAGTCATCATCTGTTATCATTATTTCACTGTGGACACAGACCATTAAAATGGAACGAATTTATCTTTTTGAAAAGCTCACTCCCTTGTCCTTATTTGTCGCTTTTCATTGACCACCAGAAATGTCGGGAGCGATAAACCTGCAGGCCAGACGCGGGGAACCACGTGTCTGCCGCGCTTCTTTGGCATCTCGAAGGCAAAGAATTTAGAGCCACAAGAGGAAGGAAAGGAAGACTGACGTGCGCGGAGGCCTGCTGGGTAGCAAGGCCTTTTGCCCATGTGACCTCATCGATATTCACAAGGGCTCAACCCAGCAGCAACGGCGGAACTGCCACCCAAACGTCCCCTCTGCATCAGCGCCCCTGCGGACTGCCAGGATTACCCCGAAGGCACTTTAAAGATGACCACATACACCCCTCATGTTACAGGTGAGGGAGCTGGGACCCGGGAGTCCTGTGAGGTTCACGTAAGTATAGTGACTCAAAGGTCCCGATCTGAAATTGGGCTGATCTGAATCCGCAGCCTGGGTCTGCTTACCGGCTGGGGAAGTACAGCCAAGGAACCTTCAGTTCCCTTCACTCAGATGAGGATCCAAATGGTACCCATGCAATCAAATTATAAAGAGTCAGCCCTGTAACACGAGGACTTGGCGTCACATAATAAATACTCAGTAAGTGTGAGGTGCGATTATGAAGATCAGGATGCACCTGTCACAGCCGTGACTGGAGCCCAGACCCTGGACTCCCATCCCAGGGCACCTTCAACTCTGCCAACATCTCCTTCTCGCCTCAGTCAGGATTCTGAATGCAGTAGGTCCACACTCGTGTTTGCATTAACTTTAACCTTCTCTCTTCCTCCCTCTCTCCTCTCTCCCCCTGTCCTCTCCTCCCTGACACACACATGCCATCTACACCCGTCCTGGTCATAAATCACCTCTCACAGTCCCCACAGCCTTCAAAATTGTATACATTGTACCTCTTTGTCTTTATTGCAACCGAGCTAGTTGGCCTTCTTTTGTTCCAAAAAGAAGCTCTTCGCATCAGAGGCTGTCTGGGAAGGGCGGAGCTGCTTCAAGTAGGAGTAATTTCTCTCTGCCCAGAACACTCAGAGGAAGGTGAGAATAAAAGCCACTTGGACTGAACGTACAGCATTTCCTTCTCTTGTGAAACATCTATTATTCAGCAGTTCTACGCAGCCTTTCATCCCTTCCTGCCTTTCACCGCACACCCCCCCCCACCAGATGGGAACACATGCAGACGCAGGCGTGAGTCCAAGGAGAGGGTTGTTAGGAATAACACATCACCTAGTGTTCACATGGTAATAATAAAACTTGATACTTGTATAACGCCTTGCAGTTCTCAGAGCACTTTAATCTGTATTATCTCCTTGATCACAACAAAGAGATAAGGCAGGTATTTTTAATCCCCATGTACAGTGAGGAAACAGAAACTAACAAAAATGACTTGCTAAAGGTCACTCCAAGAGTGGCACAGGCGGACATGTGCTGATTTAGTCTCAATCCGGCAATCCAATGTTCACTGAGTCTGAAGTCAGTAAGTCCAGAAATCGCAGATTAAATATTTGTTCATTCACTTGACAAATTCAAAGTTTGCTCTCCACTACATACCCCGAAGTGGGAAACCTCAGATCCTGTCAGTTATTGAATTCTACCATCCTCCCTTCACAGATGGCTACTTCCCCTTAGATCCAAATCTTGTCCTAGAAATTCCCATCGTTTCCTCCATGGCTCCCCTTCCCCACGTCCAGGGAACACCTGCCACTCCTGGAAGGGAGCCCGGCATAGCCCCACCTCAGTGGTCACAGCTGCCTGGACCAGCACTGGACAGCTGACCCAACCTGGCCCAACTGGATTCTCTCTCCCAGAAATTAGGACTTGAGACACAGAGTCTGAATCGTATTGCATTGGGCACTAAGTCTGTATAATCACGTCACATTACTGAGAGGAGAAACTAAAGTTTTACTGAAAATACCTGTTTGCCCCAGAGAACAGAATAGACACATAGAAAGTAGCAGAAGTAAGAGGAAGCCAAAGCCAAAGAAGAAAAAGTAAAGAGGCTAGCTAGCTTCCTATTTCTATGAAGACCAACGCACAACAGAATTTCACGTAATTCTCCTGTTTCTTCACCAGAATACTTCTGCTATTACTACCACCACCACTTCTACTACTAACCCACCACCACCACCATCACCACCATCACCACCACCACCACCATCACCACCGCCACCACCACCATCACCACCACCATCACCACCACCATCATCATCCTCTCTTGCAGCCAGGTTCTGTGAGTTTCCATAATCTCTGCCAGCCCTCCTATGACAGCTTCTCATTGTCTCTCTCTGTCCAGGATAAATATCTTCACCAAAAATCTCTAACCACTCCAGTCCAACCTACAAGCAACATGATATCCTCAGTCTTCAGCATTCTGCTGGCTTCTACACCCACTTGGGATTGTAGGACCTCCAAGTCCCCACCAAGTCTCTGAATTACTTGGCCTCCCCACAGGATCGTACTTTTTAGATCAGGATACATGTAATCAGGGGAATGTGGTGAAATACTGAGAAGTACATAACACCTCTTTTTGAAAACTTGATTTTAGTCAAAGATCTTTGAAGAACAGGCATATTTTGAATTATAAAAATATGTGGCACTATAAAGTAATAGCAGACATGATTTTTTTTAAACATAAAACAGTAAATTTTACAGAAATTTTCATCTGTGATGAGCCCCTGGTAAGTCAGCACCCCCCGGGGCCCCACTCCAGGGGAAAATGTGAGAATTCCACAGGAAATGTCTTCCGGGCGCCGACAGTGTCTCACAGCCAGGCACGGCTCTGCCCATTGCTGCCGCCCTCTTCTCCGCTTAGCCTCTCTCCCCCACACACTCCCCGCCCTGTTCCGCTCTCTGGGACTCACCATGTCTGCACCCTCTCCCCTGTCTCCCTCCACTAGACAGTGAACCCTCAAGTGTCACTGTGGCTCAATGTTCTCTTTTTCACATTAGGGAGAAACAGAACAGGACTGGTTATCATCCAATGTCTTACAGACCTATCAGCTCTTACTTAAAACCTCCTCTTCCATGGATCGTATTAGCGGACAAAATAAAGCTAAGAGAGGCCCTGAGCACCTTCTAATGGAATCCCTCCCCGCAGGTCCCTGCCAGGAAGAGTGATCTGTGTATGTCCCGAATCACAAGATTATCCCATGCCGGCACCAAAGCTGACTAGGCGGGGACTGGGCACCTCACTCAAAGACAGCAGATCCTTAAATGACTGGCGTCTCTGGCCACAGCCGGCTGTGTGATCACTAGGCAACTTGGGTTCTGAATGAGCACACAGAGAACTGGTAGCCGGATCAGCTTAGCAGCAAGAGCAAAATTTAAAGACACAGAAGCAGAAATAAGAGCTGTGAGACCATCTTTGACCTCATCTCCCTATTGCATCACCTCTCTGCCCTCCTCCTTTTGACAATTCTGATTGGACTTTACATGCAGGAAGCAGAGACATTCTTCCTTCCATCTCCTCTCTTGCACTTCCTGTTTTCTGCCTCTTCAAGACGATCAAACCTAGACAGAGAGCAGGCTGCCCTTCTCTCATTCCACTTCCCAGCTGCATGTGCTTAGATGGGCAAACAGATTCAGGCCCTTCCTGCAGGCAAGTTACCAGTCACTGCATTCAGCTTCCAGTCACAGCACCCAAGCATCGTGACTTAAAGACAGGAAGAGATTACCTTTCTCACATAACGAGAAGCCTGGAGCAGAGTAGTTGTTGGTGTCATTTCAAGAACTCAGAACCTTCATGGTGAGGACTGTGAGATGCTCCTGGCTTTTCCCTTGTGGTTGGAGCTCCAACAGTAACACCCAAGTTCAAGCACAG